GTGTATCTCTCAGAATTTTGAAATATTCTCCTCCTTGTGCATTCTGTCTTTTCTGCAGGTTGTAAAGAGGAGGAGTTCACCTGGACCAACTACCTGAAAATGACTAAAGCACAAGTGGCGCCCAAAGAACTCTTTTCCAGTCCTGGGAGGGTAACCTTCTATATATAATATAGGGCAGTGGTATTATCGACAAGTGTGAGTGCTTCTTATTGAGAAGCAGTTCCTTTTTTTTTTTTTAAATATATTTTTGGCTTCATTAGACAGGACAGCTGAGGAGAGGCAGGAAATGTTGGGTGGAGAGAGTCGGGGATGACATGCGGCAAAGGGCTGAGGTTGGATTTGAACCCATGGCCGCGGCGATGAGGACTAAAGCCTTTGCAAATGGGGCCCGCGTTCTTTCTAAAACATACACACATTTTACGTCCTTCTCAAAACATTTTGGGTGGGAGTCCACTAAGCAGATTGTAGCCGCTATAAGTAGCTTCAATTGTGCTTGTTATCTGCTCCATCTTAAGGTCAATTCACCAAGCATATTGGCCTAATGATGTTAGAGCACACACGCTCATGAAGTTGTCCTGCTCTGTGCAGATTACTCCTTTTTTTTGCGTCTGATTGTGGAGATGAGCCACATAGAGATGATGAGCCGGGAGGGGAGGGGACACTTTTTTACCAGTTTGTAGTGAAGTCAAGTCTTCACAGATGTGATACAAACGTTAACTATTTACAACAAAGTTTGATTGAAGTAAGTCTCCATCCCATTAACAAGTCAGTGAGAGCAGCCGATCAAAGAAACAACAACAACCCTCTTGTCTCCCTTTTGAATAACTCACCCGATCGTCTCCACACACGTGAACAAAATTTAACCCCTGATTATATAAGTAACACTAATGTAAAGGTCATATTAACAGACTTTATTTACAGATAAAGGTGGAATTGATGTCCTGATCACCGGAAAGTTTGTGCATGTCATCCCTTATAAATACTGGGGTGCATTTACCACCTCCTCTCAGCAGACGGTAATTCTTTCACTCTTAATGTGCGTGGCTATTTCTCGTTGTTTGTGAATGACACGTCTTTTGTAACAAGGTACTTATGCAAAGAAAGGTGTCAGTTTTTAATGCATAATGGGTCTTTTCAATATGCTTTCCCAGTTGGCGCTGCATTTAACCCTTTGCTTGTGCTTTGAGAAGTTGCCGCAAAAGCTGCACAGTCCTTTTGTGAATTAGGCCCTTTCACTTTTGCAGATTGTAATAGTTCAAAAACAGTGCTAATATAAAATAAATGTTATGACATTTATAGGGCTGGGAATCTTTGGGTGTCTCACGATTCGATTTGATTTCGACACTTGGGGTCACGATTCGATTCAGAATCGATTTTCGATTCAAAACGATTCCGGATTCATTGATTAATGGCTTCAAAGTCTGTTTTTGATTTAGTACATACTTCAGGATCGACTCCAGTCATCTGTGAGACTGGCTGAATTTCTTGCTGCTCAAGTTGGCATTCTACTCAGTTATAGAGCTAGCCTTAGCAATTAGCAGGGAGTGGAGTGGGATTTTCTGAAGTTATGAATGGAATTAAATCCTAGAAGAGAAGAATCTTGATTTTTTTACATAAATCTTTGTCAGTGTGCCTGTGTCCTAATTATTTTTTTATATATAAATATTTCATGTTGGGACATTGTGGAGTTGATCCTGACTTCCTGCAGCAACCAAATGTTGAACACTTTCAAAGCTTCATCTTCGTATGACATACTGTTGTTATCTGGTCCTATTTCGATGATTACTGAGTTAATAAACAAATGTTGGAACAAAGGCACACTGTATATTTGAAGAGCACTCAGCTTCTGTGTAAATGTCACATAATTTTATAAGCTTGTCCACAGCTCTGTCTGACTCTACTTTGTTGTGTGCACTTGTCCTGTAATTTGTGATGCTCTGCTTTGTGTATAGATCGACATGGAGTGCGGTTTCGAGATAGGAATGAAGCTAGAAGCTGTAGACCGCATGAACCCTTCCCTCATCTGTGTAGCAACCGTGACTGATGTGGTCGACGACCGTTTCCTGGTTCATTTCGACAACTGGGATGACACATATGACTACTGGTGAGCCTCAAACAAAGTGGGGCTGATAGGACTTTATGAAAGGAATGAATAAGGCATTATCAATCAACTGGGACCAGAGCTGCTACCAATAAATTGCAGTTTGTGATAGAGTGATAAAGTTTAAATAAAAAAATAAAAAAATCAAGGCCGGATTCCTAAATTGTTCTCAAACATTTCTTTAAACCCATTTTTGTCTTATTATTGAATGTCACTGTCCTCTTTCTGTCACTGGTAGAAACTTCTACCAGTGATTCTTCAACCCTGAGGTCTAATCAGCCTGTTTTGAAATCATCTATGTGTTTAATAGTTAAATCTTTTAACACCAACTGTGTTGTGTTTGCCCTTTTGGTTGGGCTTGATTGGGCTGGCTTATGTGTTGATTAAACTCCATAGAAGACAAATAGAGAGAGAAAGCTCGAAAAGTAGAACACATTTCTTGCAGACTCAATCAATCAATTTTTTGCACCAACCAGGGGTACTTGATACAAAACATCACCCCCTCTAGTGTGATATTGCTTTTTTTTAGCAATTGATTTATCCATTTGTCCTAACCAATGGTTTCAGAGAGTGAGTGAGTGTGTTTTTCCCCTGATCAATCATGCAGTGAAAGCAGCTCAGACTGATGCATGAGCTGCTCCATGTTAATTTCATAGATTATGAAGATAACCAAAAAAAAACAATTTTTTATAAATGTGAATGCAGCTGTTTGATGTCTCATTTTCTTTATATCCTCACATATTTTATTGATAATGCCACTTATTTTGATGAATATTGATAATCATACATTTTTCAGTTATTTCTAAGTGAGCTAAAAATGTAATTTCCCACATAGGTCCATGTGTCTCTGTTGAAACAAGATGACAATCACAAAAACACTCCAATCAATGAGTTACCTGACTATCTGTAGAACAAACTATAACCCTAATAGAACTAACTTTGAGGCTACATAAACCAAATGAAGTAAAAACTGTTGACACTAACTAGCTCAGCAGAGCCTAATACTTCACAGTAACTGATTTTATATATGATAGTTAAAATCCTGAAATGAGCATTAGAGATATCTGAAGTTATACTGTTTGAGCATCAAGGTAAGCAGCTCTAAAAACTGTACATCTGAATCTTTTGTTGTTACGGCACATCAGAATAAACATTCAAATAAAGAAAGTAATGGTGAGTGTTTTTGTTGTCTGTCAAAATCTCCAGGTGTGATTCCAGCAGTCCATTTATTCACCCTATTGGTTGGTGCCAAGAAAGGAACCTCCCACTAACGCCACCGCAAGGTAACGTATGTGTTCCCTGGTCATCATTCACTCAATAAAACAACAACAGTTATGTCACTGAAAATCAAAATCTACCAAAACCATCTTTTATCTGCCAGGTAAATTCACATACAGGGAATGTGACTTAGATTGTACTGACACACAAAGACACGACGGGCCCGACTCAGAAAACATTAAGAACATCAAACTGTTATTATTTGTAAAACTGCTTTTGAGAAGTGAACATAGATAAATATATGAAAAATAAATCAAAACCTGTGACACATTGGTTCATGTCTGATGAAGGGCGAGGCCCCGAGATGTTACAGGTGGTAACTTCCATTAAATTACATTTAATTGGAGCAGCTTCTGGTGTGCGGACTATTTTACTACCTTTGGAAATTTTTTTGTTCAGTATCCCATAGTTAAGTTTTCAGATGGGTGTCCTGTTTGATATTTTAACACTGAAACTAACTTAACTGTATTTTAAGCACAATAAAATACGGTAAAGTTATTTTCAGTGTGCCACAGAGTTTTTAGTTTTCATGATATGTTCCTGCAACTATGTGCACCTGAGATGTGTAGGCTGTGCACGGGGTACCCTGTTGATCATATATATAAATATATGTTAAGAATAATAATATAAATATAAACATTATGTATGAAACAATAAAAACAGTAGCACTTGAAGAAAGGAAAACTACAAGATATTAGTGCAGTGGTGAGGAGTACCAATGAGGTTTAATATGTTAACTTACCTAGAAAGAGGTTGCTTTAGATACATTACATACGTGGATAATGAAGTTTACAGGATGTATGGGATGAATTGATTGCCCTCTAATCTTGAAAATATGTCTGTCCGGTTATGCCTTTTTACCTTTTGTTCCTGAAATGTTTATAAAAATGTTTTGCTTTAGGGCACCTGTGGTCTAGTGATTAGTGTGCGTGCCCCATGTACCGAGGCTGTAGTCCTTCAGGTGGGCGGCCGGGGTTCAAATACGACCTGTGGCTGTTTCCCCGGGCTCTCCATCGCTGATTTATCTATCTCCACTGTCCTATCTGTAAAATAAAGGCTTAAAAATGTTTTGTTTTTTTCTAAAGGGAATACAGTCCATACTTCAAATTATTGGATATAGACATGTGATACATAAAATTAACATTTTAAATGAATTATACAGCTAGAAACATAATTCAATATTTCACTTACAAAGAATATTGGGAACTCTTTGAGTTAACCAATAAATAATGCACATGTAGGGGATCATTTTTAACATTATATTCCCACTCAGTGATGTTATTTTTCCCATTTTTTTTTTCTGCATTAGATTATCCAGACCAGAGCCAGTTTTCCTGGTCTCGCTACATGGAAGAGACAGGTTCCAAGGCAGTGGCAGCTGAAGCCTTCAAAGTGGTGAGAGCAAACAATAGATGTACTATTTTTAGTTAAACTGTGTAGGAAGGCAGAGTATTACCTGCTTTGGGCGACTTGTTTAATTGTAGAATTGGCCAGCGCCATTCACTTGCGGAAAACAGCCGAGGAAAATTAGTAAAGTGGAAGAATATGTCAGAGAAATGTAAAATAATAAAGATGCAAGGTTTATTTTACAAATAAAGACAAATCATTTTTTTAAGTATGTCAATGATGGCCTTAAAGGTCAGGGATCTTTAAGAGATCTACAGTAGTAATCTAAGCACATTGACTTTTTAATTTTATTACAAATACTGTATCATAAGCACAGATCTCTAAAGCTCCCTACGTTTAAATCTGTGATAAAAGGACAAACTGCCAAAAAATGTAGTAAAGAAACATATCAATGATATACTTTTATCTTTCATGCATTTGAAGCCAACGCTTTATGGACAGTGTGTTTGATACTTTTGTTTGTTTTGCTGAATGTAGAAGTTATTGTAATATCTAGACACCCTCTCCTGTCTCCAGCGGGCAGCCCACAGCTTCCATCCTCAGATGAAACTGGAGGCCGTGGACAAGAGGAGTCCTGGTCTGATCAGAGTGGCTACAGTGGAGGAGGTCGACACTCATCGCGTTAAGGTCTCTAACGGCTCTGTGTGTGTGCTTGCTGCTCGGGGTTCATGAATAATTAAGTGCTGAATAAATGAAAATGAAGTTCGGATCCTGAAGCTCTCTCAGGTCCATTAAAGCTTCAGAAAGTTGTTTTTTGGGGCCTAAACAAGTGGTTCTCAAACTTTTTCTGTCAAGGGGGGCTTGGAGGAGGAAAAGTGATCAGGCCCATGTGTATATGAAAAAGTAACACAAGGGGGGGAATTCAATCTTTGAGAATTATTTCTTCAAGGACTTAAAAAGAAGAACTTTGTCCAAAGACACAAATTAAACTGCAAACAAATTGAAATGTGCCACATAAAATACATAGAAAGCTGCTATCAGCCCTCTGCCATGGCAAGGAGCCAATCATAGTAAAAACCACTGGCCATAACTAATGCTTTGATACCATACGATACACTTTATTGCCCCCTTTCAGAAATTTGTGATTTTGTTTTGTTGTTCTTATATCTTGGCTCTTTATAACCAACAATAGATTGTATAATTTGAGTTCAATGTGTGAGTTGTATTTCATGCTACATGTTTCATAGCTCTAACTCTACTCTTTCTAAAGGTGCATTATGATGGCTGGAGCCATGTCTATGATGAATGGATGGACTCTGATCACCCTGACATTCACCCAGCCGGCTGGTGTGAGGCAACTGGTCACCCATTGAAGGTTCCCCCGCGTGAAACCAAAATACAACAACCACACGGTAGAAACCAACACACTTTACTCTGTTTATTACTTCTGTCTATGTTCAAAGTCAGACTTTATGCAAAGTCATTCTTGACTATCAAACAGTAATGCATTTTAATTGATTAATTAAATTGCCATTGCACAACATTAAGTAATCTTTTTCACTTTTTCATTATTTTGGATAATTTGTATTTATCATAATGTTCTTCTGTAAACTTGTTAATAATTGACACCTTGGGTTTTTTACTGCTATACCAGGAAAAATATATGAATTGTAAAAAAGGCTTCTTGGCATTTACACCCATTTTTAGCTGCAGTAATAAGCTCCCCCTTTACTACAGCATTGCAAGAGCATTTGTAAAACATCACTTGTTGTCCTCTGTCCAAAGTGAGGGTTCATCAGTCATTTTTAAATGTACGTAGTGGTGAGGGAGCCTCCTGCTACAGGCCAGTCCACCTACCCCTCCTCTGTTCCTTGTAAGCCAATCAGCCACCCCAAAACCAACAAGTACAGCTTCCACAACAGGTCAGTACATTTAACTTGAACATCCGGTCACTCAATGAATGTATCTTTTATTTACCAGGGTAAACAAATTAAACACTGATGCTTAATTTCAGTTTGTCAATTATGAAATCCCCATAAAATGCTCTGGTGCACTCTTTCTTCAAAACAGGAAGTGTCCGACCCCTGGGTGCGATGGGTCAGGCCATGTGACCGGCCGTTTCACAGCTCATCATTGTATATCTGGCTGCCCCTTGGCTGAGCGCAACCAGGGTAGGCTGAAGGCTGAACTGTCTGACTCAGAGTGCAAGAGGAACCTCTTCTTTGGACAACGGACCAAGAAAACCCACTACCGTGGCAGGTAAAAGTGTGTGTGTGTGTGTGTGTGTGTGCGTGTGTGCCTGCCTGCCTGCCTGCCTGCCTGCCTGCCTGCCTGCCTGCCTGCGTGCGTGCGTGCGTGCGTGCGTGCGTGTGCGCCTACATGCATCAATGTTTGCTTTTTTCTCACATTACCTTCACTCTGATTTTTTAGGATTGGCCGTCCTCCCAAATACAGGAAGAACCAACAGAGAGACTACCAGAGTGAGTTTTATTAAGTTTTCATTTGCATCCTCAGGGATTCAAAAAATGGTGGCACTTGCCTAAAGGAGATTTATTTAAAGCACTCATGTCAGTTGCATGTGTAGATGTTGTCTTAAGCCAATTTAACATATTATGCACTCCTGAACATTTCAGCAAAATTTCAGTCAAGAGGCCTCTGAAATCTTCCTGAGTTGCTTGTTCACACATACAACTCACAGGTGGAGGCTATCCCTGTGTGGCGGGATGTGGACTAGGGGTCTCAGGAGGCAGGTGAAAAAAGCTACAGCAACCTTTTCAGTATGAAGATAAAGTTACTAAAATCTTAATACTAAAAATGTTGCTGGAGCTTTTCGACCTCTTCATTAACCTTTGTAGTTCCTGAATTTGTGGCAGAAAACCCTACTCTGGTCTCGGGAAGTAAAAGAACAGCACAGAAGTAGCAGAGGAAGCAACAAAGTCAGATGCCATGATGAAAATGTTTGACTTTACATGGATGATACATGTAGATCACCATATTCACAATATGAACTAAAGAGCAGAGATATTCCGAAGCAGTCATTAACCTGCACAGTTACTGCACCAGTTGCACACATACAGTCTATGGCCTTGCACGCTGGAAGGATCTAAACATCATCATACCTCCCGCTTGCTCGTGGTGAAATATCCTTAATATTTTCCCACTTGGTTCTCACATTGGCTTACACAGACTTTGCACGGACAAAAAAATATTTCATGGGGCTGGCATGGCTGTTCAGTAGTCAGGAGTTTTGTGCATGTGTGAAAGATGCATGTTTAAGTGAGTACTGATCCTTAAATCATTCCTAAAACAGTAGCAGGAACAGATATCCAAGATATTTTTCTGCATTACTTGAAAAAGTTATGACTGTGATGGTCATATAGCAGGCTGTTCTGAAAGATGGAGTTTTGTATCTTCCCCAAGATCAAGCAAACATTGTCAACATCACACATTTTTTACATTTTGAGTTCCTTGACAAGAAAATGCTAAATATATAAATTTAAAGTTATGAGCCCTTACCATAACAAACACAGATTGAAATATTTTTTTCCGAGTCATCCTAGATCAACAACAGTTAATGCAGGCCTGTTTGTTTCTCTGTCTTTGTTGTCAGATCTGTCCTCAGAGGGTATGTATCCCTCACTCTTCATGTCAGCTTTAAGCGGCCAGTCAGACAGGACTCTCTCACTTTGCTGGGAGCAGCACTGTAAGCTGCTTCCAGGTGTACAGGGCATTCATGCCAGCCAGGTGGCAGGATGGGACATTGAAGAGGTGAGCTAACTCTTATCTCATCATTTACAAAAAAAAATGTTTTTCCTTCTTCTGTTGTTTTTAAATTTGCTTATATTTTGGATTTACTCTGTTCTGTTCTGTGCTGTTCATCAGGTATTCAGGTTTGTCCAGAATCTAATTGGCTGTGAAGAACAGGCTCGTCTCTTCAAAGAAGAGGTAAGAAATGTATGGTCAGTCATCAGGACAGTGAAAACAACAGTCAGAATAGCGTTTTAGTGGGATGGGTCAACTTGTTTGCCGATGTTTACCTTTTCACTGATGACATCCTGCTGTCGTTAGCTTGTCATTAGGAATTGTATTTGCCCATACTTAAACCCGATTTTTACTTTTGACCTCTATTGCTACAAGTAGAGGTAACTACGACTATAAAAAGAGGTTAAACTACTACAAAAAGTTGTTAAAGTATTGATGGTTCTTTGTCCACTCCCTAAGAATACCCATGCCATGCAATACAAACTTTTTTCACCTGTATCCTTCTCAGTGTCAAATTATATCACCACTGGTTTTATCTGCATCTGCCTAGATGATCGACGGGGAGGCCTTCTTGCTGCTGACCCAGACCGACATTGTGAAGATCATGAGCATCAAACTAGGCCCTGCCCTAAAGATCTCCAACGCCATCCTCATGTTCAAGAGCATAGATGAGGGACTCAAGTGATCCCACCCTTCAACACTGAGGCCATTGAGCAGCCAGTCATCATGTGCCAAATTCATACTGTTGCAGGAAAACGGCCCTGACTCCTTTTTTCATGTGTTTGATGTCCTTTACCCATCAGAGAGGGGGGGGGGGGGGATGAGATAGGGGTAAGAAATATATAACAGAGGTTGGAAGAAATATAACAGAGGTTGGAAGAAGAAGGGAAATTAAAGTCTACAAATATGGAACATTATAGAAGATATGGAGATTCATTTTTTTATATATATATTTATATACACATTTTCACACACACACACACACACACACACACACACACACACACACACACACACACACTATTGGTATAGAGAGTAGATTGGAGGATGGAGGAGGTAGTTTTGACAACTGATGACTGGAGTTTGTCTGAGTATGATCATAACTCTCCTCTG